TGTTGCTGCTGCTCTGTCTCCTCTGGTGTCTCCTTCTCTGTCTCCTTCTTCTCTGTCTCCTTCTCTGTCTCTGTCTCATTTTTCTCTGTCTCCTTTACTGTCTCCGCAGCAGCAGCAGCAACCAACTGTCTCTGCTGCTGTTGAGGAAACACGCAAAAGGCTAAAACAAGTTGCTGCTGCATACGATATTAAAATAAAAGACGAAGAAGACGTCGTCAAGAGTGTCAGTTTGCTGCTGCTGCTGCTGCTGCTGCTGCTGCTCTTGTCAGGGTTAGCTGCTGCTGTTGCTGCTGCTTCTGAAAGGCTTTTCTGCTGCTGCTGAAAGGGTTTGCTGCTGCACTAAATCCATCTCTAACATCTCTCCTTCTTAGGGGCCCCCAGGGGCCCCCTCCTGGGGGGCCCCCAGGGGCCCCTGTATTGAAGAGGGTGTAGATGTGCGTGTTTGTGTGAATGTGTATCTGTTTGTATTTCTGCTGCGTGTGTTGCTGTTGCTGCTGCTGTTGTTGCTGCTGCTGCTGCTGCTGCTGCTGCAGCTGGCGTTGCAGCTGCTTTACAAGGTTGTGCTTCGTGAAGTGCGGCTAAGGGCCTCACGAGCAGAAGCAGCAGCAGAAGCAGCAGCAGCAGAGACCAGCGGCAGGGAGCCCCCCCCACTTGCTGCTTGGGCCCCCAGTAGGGGTCTTGCTGCTGCTGCTGCTGCTCTGGGGGTTAGGGACTGGCGCCGCTCTATACACGCAGAGCCGCAGCAGCAATCCGAGTTGTTTCAGTAAGCAGCAGCAGCAGCAGCAGCAGCAGCAGCAGCAGCAGCAGCAAACTGCTGCTGCTGCTGCTAGCCTGTTTATGCTTTGTTGATGCTTCTGCTGCTTCTCCTGCTGTTCCTGCTGCTACTGCTGCTGCAGCTGCTGCTCCTCCTGCTGCTGCTTCTGCTGCTCCTCCTGCTGATGCTCGTCCTCTTCTCGCTGCTGCTACTGCTGCTCATGGTGCACCTGCTGCTGCTGCTGCTGCTACTGCTGCTGCTCATGCTGCTACTGCTGCTGCTCATGCTGCTGCTGCTGCTGCTACTGCTTCTGCTGCTCCGCCTGCTGCAACTACTGCTGCTTCTCCTGCTGCTGCTGCTACTCATGCTGCTGCTGCTGCTGCTGCTGCTGCTGCTGCGCAGGTATGAAGTTGCTGCAGTGGTATCTCGGGCTCTGGCTGCTGCATCGGAGTGTAAAAACCCAAAGACACGCTGGGGTGTATACGCAGCTGCAGCAGAAGAAATAACAAACAGAAAAAATATTTTAAATATTAATAACTTCACTGCAACCAGAATCAGCAGACAACCAATCATAAAACGGTAATATATATATATATATATATATATATATAAATATAAATAAATATAAATAAATAAATAAATATAAATAAATAA